CCTTGCGTGAGTACAGGATTGGTAAAGTAAAAAAAAAAAAAAGAAAAAAAAAGTGAGAGCCTGTGACAGCATCCTCTCCGATTTTAAGAAATGCTTCTGCCTAGGTGAGTACAGGATTGGTAAAGTAAAAAAAAAAAAAAGAAAAAAAAAGTGAGAGCCTGTGACAGCATCCTCTCCGATTTTAAGAAATGCTTTCTGCCTAGAGGCAGCTATATATTGATGGGAATAAGAGTGCTCTGGCTCCCAAGATGAACGACAAATCAGTGTCCATGTGTTAAAAAGTAATGATGTATTTGACTTTAGAATAGATGGGAAAGAAAAATTCAGCATTGCTGGAACGAATATATGTGAAGCAATGTTCTGATGTACTAACCTCTATTTTTAAGGATTAAAGAGCTTTTATAAAAATAGAACTAGTGGACTATTTAACACCAAATACATTTCTTAAAATTAAACTTCATATAACTGCTTCTATGGCAAAGCTGTTAATGAAAAGTATATTGTTGTTAATTAGCATTTATGCCCTAGTATTGTTAGAAACCAGACAAAACATACACATAGTTAACAGATTATAAAAGGGATATGGAGAAGAGATAAAGATAATACCCAGAGCTCATCCTTATGCAGCTGTGACATTGGACTTTCTCACAAAGTTCTTCCCCATGAGAGTATAAGAAACAGGCAATGCAGGAGTGGAGTGCTGATGCTGAAATTTCAGCTTCACTCAAGACCATGGCAAAACTCAAGGATTTCAGTCTAAAACATGCCAACAGATGAAAAAAGAATCTTCTTCCTCATTACAAGTGTGGAAGGAGGGGTATCCTGGCTGGGTTTTCTGAAACTGAACACACCTATTTGCATAAGGATGGGAGATATCTGCATCTCACTGATGAAAATAATTTAGGGAAAAATAAAGCTGGTGGAAAAGTTTCAAAGAGCATCTTTTTCAGTAAAAAAAGCAGGAGCAATTGTTAATGCCATTTTTCATTTTAAAAGTCATCTTTTACTAGCATAAACCTTTTCTTTTTATTGTTAATTTCTAACCTAAAGGAAATAATAGAATATAAAGTGCTCTAGTAAGTTATCGCATGGCAAAGTGACAACAGTATGTTTGTCAGCAACAAACTGATGACAGCAACCAATGTGTGCATTAGTAGGCTCCTTTGAGCTCAGCAAGGACAATGAAGTGCAGTTCAGAGGTAAGAAGAACTGTGCTGAAGTTAAGCCTATCTATACTGCACACAAGGAAGTTTATAAATGAAAAATGAAAGAAACTGAATTAAGGAGATGTTTCAGTCTGTGGCTCCAGAGGTCGACCCAGATGATCCTGCCAAAAGGGGACAGCTTGCTTCTTTCTACCCCTTTCCCCCTTATTCCTGGTCATGTGAAGTATTCCCTCTTTTACTTCAGCTATGTCAGTTGAGGCACCCCTCTGCAATCACTAACAGAGTAGAAAATTATCTGTGTGTTTCTGCTGGCTTAGTTTTTTTTCTCTTATTTTAGAAGTTCTAACTCAGGAGGTTTTGACAATCACTGGAGCTGCAATAAAAACAGCATCATGAGCTTGTTCCTGGAAGTTGTGGGAAAATGAGAGAAAGAAGCCAGTTCTCTCCTTTTCAGTAGCAGTGAACTGCTAGATCAGCTCTCCACATCTCTCCCCATCATACCCTCTAAATCAGTAGTACTGACTTTCCAGTCTGCAGGCTTGCTCTCAGGCACAATGACCTTAAGTGATGTCCCAAAATAGGCAAAACTGGCATGGTTTAATTGGAAAGAGAATCCTATTAAAAAAACCACAGGTGCTGAGTCAGCAAAGAATCAAAAGATGCAAATGCAAAGCACTGATGCTGGAAGACTTTCAAATGAGACAAAAGCCAGATACCTCCTGATCATTTGTCATCACCAGTGACTCCCTGGGTTCCCTCACAGTAGAAGTGCTGTTAACACCAGCACCCTGATGATTTTCCAGTTTCTGGTAATTTTCAGCCTGTGCTCTGAACATTTTCTTTTACTTGTCTTTTAAATGATGAAGCTGTAGTGTTGCTGTACTCCTAACAAAGGGCATCTACTTTTCTTTACCTCTGAATGCCAGGGAATTAATGCACATTTCAGTGTACTTGTCATGGGCACATCAATAAACAGAAAAAGCATGCACATATACCCAACGGTATAATAGAAAGGTTTTGCTCAACATGGGTTTTAATTGGCCTATTTACTTTGAAGTGGTGACTATACATTCAGATGACTTCTACAGATCACCACAAATGAACGCCAGTAAATTTTTTTACAGTACCATCTGGTCATGTGTTCTTCTGCATGTCAGATTCTATATTGAAAATTATTTTATAAACTCATTACAGAGTTTTTAAAGGCTTTTAATTGGTACTAATTTTCCTAGGGGGTACTATCTCCCTATTACAGAGTCAAGCTCTTTACTGTTATGAGACTATGTCTATCCTCTGGGGAAAATTATAATTAGATGCTCCTGGTGGTTGGTTCTCTTGTAATAATCTTATGTTTGTAGTCCAGTATTAACTGTCTGGCCCACAGACTTGGTATTTTGCAGGGATATGCTTTTGCAATCTCATTAAAGGTTGTACCAATTTGATCAAGTTTCAAATCTTTGGAAAATCAGCACTTCATCATTCTGAACAATATGTTGTAGATTTCAATGGCAAATGATCACTAAATTTTTGTCCTCACTGAGCATGCTCTCGGCCCTGATCAAAGTGGGCTGGTGCTTCAAAGTACAAGTAAGGATACCATAGTATAATGCTACAACAATCAGAAAGACATTCTTTAATAGCAGTTAGGCCCATTGGCTTCAAAGTGAAGCCAATAGAAAGGCCCACTGGCTTCAAAGTGAAGGTAAAGACAACTATTTCTCCAGCAGCCTAATCATGTCTCCCCTCTTATCGTTCACTGGCAGAGGAAGAAGCCACCTAATTCAGAGGCATGGCTAAAAGCAAACCAAGAGTCCCGGAAAGAACAAGATGGATACAAAGAGTCTGCTGAGAGTAGAGCTTTAAGAGTAGAAAAGAAACTATAACAGACCTGGGAAAGGTGAATTCAGTGATGAGAAAGAACAAGAGGGCTGCGAGCTACATTATCAGGTGAGGAGGAACACCAAGAACAGAGAAATGGCTGGAGAAAGAGAAGAACCTGGACTAGGACTTGCTGAAGCAAGTGATTAGAAACAGAAGCTATTGGAGTGGTAGAGGAAGACGACACAAGAATCTGATTCTAACAGGAGAACAAAGCCTTAAGGACAAACAGAATGAACAGTGAATGGAGACTGATGGGAAAGACGGGTCACATAACGACCTGGGACAGGGAACCTGGGGCTAGTTGGCCAAGTAAATTTGGGGGCATCAGGGACAATAATAGAATTTAGATTGGTAGGGAGGATAAGATTAGGACTAAATCCATTGCAATAGAGTCCCCTTCACCACTGCAATCTGCAGGTGCTACTGCACACAAGTTGCAAATAATCACCCTTGGCAAACAAAATATTTAAGATGGGTCAGGTGGTGACAGGATGGACAAGGAGTTAAACTCCCTTAGGTGAGCACTGATTCATACTGGGGGCACTGGGAAGCAAAATCCTTCCTACATTCCAGTCATGCATAAGCATAAGGTGCAGAAGCTTGTCTGTTACAGCACTCCCAGTTAATATATGGAAAGGCTTGAGGAAAGAAATGCTGTCTTGGTCTTGATTCCTTCTCACTCCACATTATGGAGATAGATCCCAGAAGAATGTATTGGAATACCATGAGGAATCCATTTCAGAGCTCCTCTTAGCACAAGGATTATTTCACTCTGTCGATATCTTCTATTTGGTCAACGGATGGGAAAACTCTGATACCTTTCGGGCCAGCCAACCCACAGCTGATCTGTGAGGTGTTACATGGGGGAGGTCTGCTTAGGAGGCTAGACAGAGCAGAAACTTCTACTATAACACTGGCATAGTTCCCTCACCCACAGTAAGCAGTTCCTGACTTTTCCAGCCAGAAAAGGGGGGGGGGGGGGGGGGGGGGAAGCCAACACAGAAGTCAACTTCATCTTGAAACTGTACTTACAGCTATTCCTTTATTTTAACTTGTACATTTTTGTTTGGGCTGTCAGCATTTAAGCTACAGAGTCTTATGACATATAAGTATACACATGTTTATGACTTATGAATCATGACATTTAATTTTCTTCATCAACATTAGTAGGTGTTTGTTTATAATAATGGGCCAGAGCTTATCTCACTCTAGACAAATTTCATATTACAGAATGATTGCTGAGCTTGGGAAGGTGTGTTCATTTGCATTTAATTCTCTTTTGAAACAGTGAAATTCTGCCACCCTCTGGACAACAACTAAACTAAGACATATTTACAATCACCCTCAAAAGTAAAAAATTCCACTGCTGCTGATAAACTTTCATTGTTTTTTAAGCACATTTTAAAATTAATTACTAGGCTGAATGAAAAATAGCAGTTCCTATTAAACTACAGACAAAACAATTACTTTAAGTACTGAATAGCCTTCTTACTAGTAGTATCTAATTAAACAGCAAACTTTAAAGTGTTCAGTTCTTAACCTTTTCTAGTAGTCACTTCATTGTTCACAGTTGTATTTTTAAAGATCTGCTACCAAAATATGATATAATTTTTCATCATGCCAATATATATTTGCACAAACCAGAACATTCTGGAATTATTAGCATCTCTGTGACTGAGCCAAAGGTGAATACATATAGAACAGACTTCATTGGGAGAAAAAAGGCTAAGGAGAAGGTTGCATTATGGTTGATCATATTAGCTTTAAAAAGTTTCAATGGGAAAACATGTCTCACATTCACATGGCATGCAGCACTTACTGCTATTAATACTGCTAGTCAATGCATTAATATGACCATTTGACACAGTAAATGTCTGTGCATTCAAAGTTTCAACTTGTGCTTCCAGGATTAGTGTGGGGAAGGAGGGCTGCAGCATATATGTTGTACAGTACCTTGTTTTGGCTATGGAGCCTAGCTGCTGTTGATCTTGGATGAGCTCAGCCAGCTGTTTTTGCAAAGACATATCTTTACCATGTACTTGTTTAATAAACGGATGCTCCAAAAGATGAGTGACTGAAGGACGCTTTTCAAAATCCTTGATAAGACACCTGTGACAGAGAAATAGTGGTCTCAGGCAATGATGTTATTTCATTACAGCATGATTTGAGTCAGCTTACTGTTTGGCTGTTATTGTAAGGTAGTTTCTTTTTCCACAAATTTGAGCTCCTCAGTACGCAACAAGACTCTTCCTTTACATTGGAATAAATCTGGCATAAAATAATTAACTAAGTAAATTCACCCTACAAGTATACCAGTATAGAGGCTTTGAATTTGAGCTTATTTAATCTCTCTTTTTAACTGTAACTAGCTTACTATGAAAAAATGGCATCATATCTTTTAAGTGCTGTACAGTTAATATACATTAAACATAACCTAAGATGAATAGACAATACTTCATTCACTTTAATTTTCTACCTATTCTCTAATGAGAGTTTGAATAAGAACTGTAGGATATAGCCTATTAAAAACCACAAGTGAAACCTGTGATACAACACTAGTCAGAACAATTTGACGTAGAGCTTTGTTTTGTTTTTAAAATGAATGTTTCAGATAGATCTTCTATATTGCAATGATAAGTGTTAGCATAAGAATCACAGAAAATTCTGCAAACCTACATAATTCAGACTGGAAGAGAAATGAATGAGTCAGAATTAAATGCTAGCCAGGGTACAAAGTTCTGGCTGTGATAGGAACAGGTGATGTAGTAATGAGTAAAGAGATACATCCTATTAAGTTAGCATAAAATAAAGTATCATGCTAATTTATATAATTGAGATTTAAAATTGAGGAAGCCATCATTAAAGCTTAATTCTTTTCAGTACAATAAAGCTGAAATAATGCAGTCCAAACAGAAGAATGATCTAACAGGATTAGACTGCTTTAAAGTACCCTCTAATTCTTTATATTAAAGAATTCTGTTTATCTTGCTCAAATAATAATGTTGAAATTATTTGAGAATGTGAAAAATAAATGTTGCGATTCAGTGTGTATCTCCCTTCTAGCACCTATCATTTCAGCGAATTATAGCCCAAGATGAGTTTATTTGATGAGATGCATTCGTATTACATACTTCACAATTACGTCTCATATTTGCTGATATTAAGTGATACACGTAAAGTACTTCCTTAGCAGGGCCAAATACTACAAATAAATATCACCTTTTTAGCCAAAAGTTCAATGAAACTTTAATACCTTTTAGAATAATTTATATTCCAGCTGTATCAATAACAATTTGCAAAATTTAAAGTACATCTAAAAAAAAATCATACACATTAATTGATTTCAAATACTACCAAACACATTAGCAAATGATTAAAGTTTAGCCTCACCTCAAATACTTTACTGAAGCCTAAAGTCTGGTCTTAAAATGATGCTGAAATATCTTTGAACATAACTTTAATACTTTAGGTTCCTGAAAACCATTTTCCAACCTCTTCTTGGTACATCTAGTCCAGAAAAGACAGTCTGTAAAATGTGCTAACAGTTTTATAACTATTTTGGTGAATTTTGCTATAGGCTAGAACTGTAGCCTCCTGATAGAAAGACTAAAGTAACAGAACCTGCTTTATCTCCATCCCTCTGAGTGCAAGGCTATAAATACCAGTCCTTCCCCCCCATGAAGAGATCCATCATTAGCCTTCAACAGGTTCTGACAACCCGCCCCCCCCTTTTCCTTTTGTGATCCATGGTTTTTAAGTCAATACACCCACACACAGAATATGGTCCATGCCAATCCTAGTTAAATTTATATGTTTCCTGAGAAAAAGGAAAAAAGCGTTTGAAAAGAAAGATAACATTAATCAGGAAGGCAGAGGAAAAAAACCAAAACCAAAAAAACTATGCAGTATACAAAATCACAGATTGATGGCAAGTATCTGAAATGGAGATTTCAGTCTGAAAAACTCATGCACTCGTGATTTTTACCATTCTAACAATAATTACAAAATTATAGTATTTATGCTGTATTGTTAATATATACATTTTCTTGTTAAATTTGATTACATCAGGAATTTTTCAGTAATGTAACTGAATCCAAGTGAAGCTATGTCATAGACTCATAGAATCATAGAATGTTTTGGGTTGGAATGGACCTCTAAAGGTCATCTAGTCCAACCCCCCTGCCGTGGGCAGGGACATCTTCAACTAGACCAGGTTGCTCAGAGCCCCGTCTAACCTGACCTTGAGTGTTTCCAGGGATGGGGCATCTACCACCTCTCTGGACATCCTATTCCAGTGTTTCACCACCCTCATTGTAAAAATTTCTTCCTTATATCTAGTCTGAATCTACCCTCTTTTAGTTTAAAACCATTACCCCTTGTCCTATCGCAATAGGCCCTAATGTCATGGCAGTTGCTTTTCAGATAGTAGCAACATTAGAGTTTAAATGGATTCTCTTCAAGAAATTACACAGTTCCAGACAGAATATCTTGTGTTTACTGAAAGTGTGAAGAACATACAAATCTTTTACCTGGTGGTATGTAGTTATTAATATGAATTCTACTCTGAGGTCTGGAACAATGCACCTCCAAACACACTCTACGGACAAGATGCAGAAGTTGCAAGAGAAATTTTTCCATATAGTTGGCCCACAGGTGAAACATCCAAATGTCCAGGATACTGCATTCATTAAGGAAGCCCAACAAAAAGAGACGGAAGGAAAATATTTTAGGGAAAAAAGTTCTTAGCTTCTCCATTATGTGCCTGAAATGCTAGCTGTTTAGGTCTGGCAGGTGTTTTAATGAGCATAGGTAAGTTCTGTCAGGGAGGCGGTCTTGAAGACTACTTTACGATTACCTTTGCTTAGGATTACCTGCCAATCCCCTGCTGACTATTCACTTTGCATGCATGCTACTCTTCTGCTTTGCAACTATCAAAGTTTATATATTGTTTCATCTATATGCAGCCTTCATTCTCTGGTGGTAGGATGTTTTTGCAATCTGTGGTCACTTAGGATTTCACTTGAAACACAAGTAAAACTTCATGAATTCATAAGGTGACCAAGCTAATGACACAAGACACATCCACATGATTCTGTGATCAAAGTCTCTGTTCCAAGCTCAGACAGAGCACACCTACTATTGTGCCAAGTTTGTGCCTATATCAGAAGAACAGAGCCCTTTCAGATGGTTAGTGAGATGCCACAACAAAGCAGAGAGCTAGTAACTAACAGCCGTGCAAGGGTGAGGGACAGCTGCTTAAATTCTCATCTGTAACTTCTTGTGTGAGTACTTCTACTCCAGTTCAGGGAAGAGACTGACAGGAGAATATACATCTCCACTGAAGTTGGTTTAATCCATCAAGTTAAATGGCAAGCTCGTAGCACATTAGGAACACAGCAGCAGAAAGAGGAGGCAGGCCGTAGGGAATTGATATGTGTACGGCATATACACTCTCCTTTTGCTCTGAAACAGCAGAAGTGTTGACACAGTCACTTCTAGAACTCCTTATTACTCCTTATTATGTTTCAAATTCCAGTAAGTAAGTGGCTTGCAGATTAGCCACAGTAGGTACTGTGGACTCAGTGTGTACTCAAATATTCAGTGCCAATTTGGTGAAAGATAGTCCTTATGTTTCTCCTCTTGGTGCATATTCCTTTGTCCTAATTCCTCTCTATGTAGACAAGAACTATTAATATTCTGAGGTATATTTACATGCTCTGCTACTACACACTGTCATTTCAACTGTGTTGCTTTTAGTGCCACACTGAATGCGTGCTGCTGTTGTTCTTAGTCAACGTTACCTGTAAAATAACAATTCTTGGGCCACCACCTACGTGCTAGTGAAAAATGATGCATCAGACTGCCAGTGTCACTGCAGGTGTTCAGTAAGGTATCATCTCCTACACTGGAAGCAGTATTGACACTATACTGCTCTTCAGAAAAAAATAATTTAATACAGAATATCAGCTCTTACGATGCTAGAGCCTGCATGAAGGTGAGCATTATCACAGTGTTTTCTACTGACCTGCACCCTGAAATAGAACTATAATGTGTGAAAAAGTTAATCATATGGGTGCCTGAATCCAAAGTTGCCAGTTCATTCAGTCAGGAGATGTATTCCAAGTAAAGGCCAGAAAAAAGGAAATCAAGAAGTAATACACAAAAATCCAGCAATATTAACATTTGAAAGAGGAAGAGTACAGTAATAAAACAGCTTTTATAACGTCACTTATCAGAAAATATTCTTATTCAGTGCAGCCAACAGAAATTAGTGTGTGTGTTGTGCAAGTAAAAAACAATATTAAGAAGTCATATCACTGAAGGATTTGCTTCTGAGGAAAGGAGAAAACTAAAATATCTTCAGGTGTTCATCTGAGCATTCATTTAAGACCAATTTGGACAGTTAGCTTAGGCAGTCAAACATCAACCATGTTGCAATTACATATAAAACCAACAAATATGCTGCACCTGTAAATTAAGCCAATTTGTTTGGCCTGTGGGATTGAGTTAAAAAAAAAAAAAAAAAAAAGAAGTGGTGAGACTGCCTTGCACTGAGCAAATTGACTAGCAAATCTACTACAGGATGGGTTTCATATAAGAAAAATGATCATATGAAAATATGATCATATTTGGTCTGCTATTTTTTGGATCTAAAATAATGAGAAGGCTAAGTAAGTAGAGATTGAAAAGGAAACAAACATTATATATATTTGCCTTGATGAAAGTCAATCCATTACCTAATTTGAAATTCTAGTATCTTCCATCATGCTTTCTTAGCTGAAAATTAATTCTCAGAATTCATTAGTGTCACTACATTAAACATAGGTTGCAGCCATTTGCTGCAATCTCTCAGCCAGGCTCCTAAGCACCATTTCCATTCTGCCACAATTACAGGCAAAGATGAAGCATTTATTAGCAGGGGATAAGAGCAGACTCCCATACGCGCAGGCCCGTCTGAGACTGCCTCTAAAAATTCACTGGCTGCTTGCACTTGGACGATAACATTGTTGGAATTGCTATGTCTCAACAATGTAAACTGCCATTTTGCAAGTAGCGAATCAGATGACTGAAAAGGAGAGATATTTATCAGCATTCATGAGCTAATACTT